TTCCCTCCTCTGAGTTCAGGTACCAGAATGTATACTTCTCTGTGGTAGTTCCCATGACATTGTATGGTAGTTATGTACAGGTCTGCTTTTCCCTCAGCCTGTGGGACAAGGGCCACATCTAATTCATCAGCAGGGAGGCCAGCTGGGGAGGCAGAAATGGCAACAACTTGCCAAAGGAGTTGAATCCTATTTCTGTTATTTATTAACCATGCAACTTTGGCCACTTAACACACCTCTCAGAATATCTTCACCCACCCAATGGCGATCACAATACTGTAGGTAAGGTTTCTGGTACATAGTGGGCTCTCATTAAGTGTTGAAAAGAAAAAAAAAAAACCTTGTAAGAATATTTGATTGTTTAGTAGTCCTTTCAAGACATAAATTCACATTTCAAGGGATCTTCCATAGAGCTTTAAAACTGAGGGTTTGGTATTGATGGGAGATTGGAAGGAGAGGTGGTTGGTGATGGGGGCATAGCATATAGTCTTCTGCTCTCCTCCCTTCCCTCTGTATTTTGGTGTTCCCAGTGCTTGCTTTAGTGAGATAGGCCTGACCTCTAGTGGAAACTACTTATTCTTGGATCTGTTTAGCACTTCTTCACAAGAACCAGAACCTAGTCCTGTGCTAAGCAGGTATTGAGGGGGTACCCACTGGTTAATTTTCTAATTGAACAGTCTTAGCTTTATAAGGAAAAATAATTTTTATTTTATTGTACATTCATGAAAAATACTCATTAATAGACTTTCCTTCACTCTTTTAAGAAAAATGAATCCCCAAATATCTTTCATGAAGCTAATTATTGTGTTTTAATATTCATGGGAATCTTTCTATCTGAGTAGACTTGAAAGCATTTTGCAAACAGATTTATTACCTATATAGTGTGTTCAAATCAATTAAAGTGAAATTCAATTAAAATGCAACCACCTCCGAAGTAGGGCGCAGCAGATGTTTAACAGCTCACAGCGACACCTCACAGCAGTGTGAGTTAAGCAGCAGTTGACGAACGAAAATGAAGAATTCCATTTTCTATTTAGGCTACAGGAGCAATAGAGAGAAGCAGAATGTAATTATCCAAATTAGAAATTTTCTGTGACACTGAGGTCACCAACTCTGCTATTCACAGAAGGGCCAGTGGATATTTATTGATCACACGCAGCCAAGAACACTGCTTTATGCCTCTGCTGACAGACAACCCCCTCAGGCACATGGCCTCTAAACACTCTAGAGATGAAAATTCAGGACAAAACTAGGGAGTGCTTCAGGACTTCAAAAACACAATCCCTCACTCCTGATTCTCCTATTCTTGGGCTCAAAATCAGACTTGACCGCCAGCCTGTCTACTGAATGATACAAACAAAATACAATGTTAGTGATGCAGCCATAGTGTATATTCGTAACCAATGCAATAGGGATGTCACTGTTGTTTAACTCGGTTCTGAGTCTGAGTGGAATGGGAAACGTTCTGACCTCTTCATGCTGTGATTTTCATGTTCCCTGTGACTGAAGACCGCAGAGATACTGAGGTGGGCTGGGATTTCATCCTTATGTAGAGATGTAATTTGGAGAGTGACTACACAATATCAAAGCAAACTTATGAAGAGTAAAATATCAACCATGACACTGAAACGTGCCTGGATGGAGAACTGCATATGTCTTCCTTTCTTCTAGATGTGAACTTGTTCTGCATCCACAAACTAGCTTAATTATCCTGCATGTACCAACCATATGCCTATATATTGCATTTAATTTAAATGCTGGATGAAATAGGTTTCCAGGTAGAAATGAAAAAGAACAGCTTCTTAACATCAGTTTATGTGGAACTGAATGATAATTTGACTCAGTTTTGCCTTAATCTGATAGAATTCTAAAATTAGAAACAAGCAGAAACATGTTAGTGGGTTTGTCGCTGGATCAAATTTCTACATCAACTAGCCATTGTAATGCTATTATTCAATTCGTTCATTTTGGTAATGGCTGCTTGAAAGCAACTTACTGATACATATAGAATTCACAATTACTCTGTCCCTACGTGCTAACAAAAGGGCATCTTGATGGTCTGAAGGAGAAGGGAGCCAGCAGTTTCTGGTTTAACCTGCAAATCACAGTCTATTTAGCTGCTGCTATAACAATTAAAAGATGCTTACTCCTTGGAAGGAAAGTTATGACCAACCTAGATTGCATATTAAAAAGCAGAGACAATACTTTGCCAACAAAGTTCTGTCTAGTCAAGGCTATGGTTTTTCCTGTGGTCATGTATGGATGTGAGAGTTGGACTGTGAGGAAAGCTGAGTGCCGAAAAATTGATGCTTTTGAACTGTGGTGTTGGAGAAGACTCTTGAGAGTCCCTTGGGCTGCAAAGAGATCCAACCAGTCCATCCTAGAGGAGATCAGTCCTGGGTGTCCACTGGAAGGACTGATGCTGAAGCTGAAACTCCAATACTTTGGCCACCTGATGCCAAGAGCTGACTCATTGGAAAAGACCCTGATGCTGGGAAAGATTGAAGGCAGGAGGAGGAGTTGACAGAGGCTGAGATGGGTAGATGGCATCACCAACTCAATGGACATGGGTTTGAGTAAACTCCGGGAGTTGGTGATGGACAGGGAGGCCTGGCGTGCTGTGATTCATGGGGTCGCAAAGAGTCGGACACGACTGAGCGACTGAACTGGACTGAACTGAACTGATAACAATTTTACCTAATGAGAAAAATAACAAAGACTGCTTAGGTATAAATCTATGACCTCACCTCTAGCCTATGGACTGCAGGGATTAAGTGCTGAGATATTTTCCTCCCTTTAAGAAAAATGGAGGTCTTCCTTAAAAGGTTTATATGGACCTGATTTTCCCAGAATCAAGCAGATGCAAATCAACGTGTTTATTACACACCCATTGTGTGCACAAAACTGTGTTCAGTACTAGGCAGATAGAAGAACACAGTGATCTCTTGAATCCTTACAATATTTTAGGGATCTAAGGAGAGAAGACAGAGCAAAAACTAAGAAACAAGGGTCACACAGAGCATTTATGGCAGACCCAGAAATCTTGTTAGAACTTATTTTTGTAGTCTGGTGCTGCCCCTCAGGAGCAGAATTTTGAATTAGTTCTTAAAGATCTCAACTTGTTTTCAAGAGCAGACATAAAAAGAATGGAACCAAATAGATCACTTCAAGACAGCAGAGGAAGAATCATTCCAGGTCACATGGAGGGGAGACTGCATTCAGAGACCAAGGTGGAGGCTGTCATCTCTCTCCAGACTGAGATCCCTTGTGTCAGATGACAAACTTGATTCTATCAATAATCTCCCACTCCTGTAACCACCAGATCTCTTCCTAACCATCAGATCTTTCTGAGCACAGAATATGATCAACTCCTGATGTCTAAACTCGTCCTGTAAACAAGCAAAAATATTACCTGAACCCTGAGTTCCCTGTCTACATTTTTTAATATTTCTCCTTTTCTTCACAGCCAGACTCTTGTCTGCATTTATTGCCCCTGGTTGTTTGTCTAAGTCTTTCCTCAGGCACGAGCAATCCGGCACCAAGCTATTGAGATTGCCCTTTTAAGACCGATTGTAATTGCTTTTCTGTCATTCATCTCAGTGCTGCATTAATCCTGTTGACAGAGTCCTCATCTTGAATCTCTCTCTTACCACTGCCTCCATGACACCACCCTTTCAAATCTTCTCCCCTGCTTCAGACTACCTATTTGTGGTCCACTTAACAGGTTCCTTTCCTTCATCCACCTCTTCAATGCCATTCTTTCCCCAAATTCCTCTCTTGGTCCTGTCACTTTGTCAGTCTCCTAGAGCACTGTGGGAAGTGGAAATAATCTGGGCCTCTGAGAAGGTCATGTGGGTGGAAACATTTCACTTATTAGCTGGGCTTCCTTGGTGGCTCAGATGATAAAGGATCTGCCTGAAATGCAGAAGACTCGAGTTCAATCCTTGGGTCAGAAAGATCTCCTGGAGAAGGGAGTGACTACCCACTCCAGTATTTTTGCCTGGAAAATCCCATGGACAGAAGGGCCTGGCATGCTACAGTCCATGGGGTTGCAAAGAATCAGACATGACTGAGCGCCTTAACACTTCCACTTTTTTTCCACTTTCTTGAGCAAGTTATTTGACTTCTCTGAACTTCAGTTTCCTTGTCCTCTGTAAAATGCACAACTCACCAAGTCCTTGTAAGAAATAAATATGAAACCATAAGAGAATTTCAGATCTGCCCCATGGTATGTGCATGTTAAATGTCCATCATCCCTCACCTACCACCTCTGCTTTTGATAATGCCTTCATTTATGTCTACAGCTTAGCAGAGACCTCAGTGAAGTATACCTACAGGATCTACAAGTCTCCTTAGATCCTATCCTCTATACCCCTCTCTCAATGGAGTGGCATTGCTCTGAAAGATATTGAGTCAACTATCCTCACATTTCCCCACTAGCCAGCCTCCTTCCAGTGTTCCACACCATTACTCCCACTCCATCACCCTCCATAACTACCATCTAAAGCATCTTCCCTATTGGAAAGCCTTCACTGGCTCTCCATTGTCTAGAAGACAAAGCTCTCATCTTTGCACAGCATACAAAGCCTCTGAGTATCCCTCTTACTAAAGCTTTCACCTCTATCTCTAGCTCCTTCTCACAGTTATCCTGCCCTCCATTCTTAAGGCTCTACTAGAAAGTTTCCTAACTCAAATCCCCTTACATTCTCTCTGCCCTTTACACACCAATCCCTCTATTAGATATATTCCATTCCCCTTTGTTCACCCTTCAAATTTCAGCTCAGTTATTACCTTCTCTATGGAAGAATTCTTCCCTAATATTTCCTGTATTTCCACTCTTGACCCATTTTTTTCAGCTCAGCGGATGCTTGTTGCTTTATTAATTGAATATTTATTGGACACTGCATTAGTTACCTATCACTTTATAGCAAATTACTCCCCAAATTTAGTAGTATAAACAGTATTTATTAAACAATTGTTCTGCATGTCAGGAGTTTGGGCACAGCTTAGCTGGGTTCCCTGGCTCAGTCAGGGTCTCTAACAAGGCTTTAGTTAAGATGTCATCTAGTGTTGCAGTCATTTTAAGATTGAACTGGTGAAGAATTAGCTTTCAGGCTCACTTTTGTTAGCAGGATTGAGTTTGTGGAGAGCTGTTGGACTGAGGGCATTTAGTCCAAGAGTGGTCTGGCAGGGTGTTCACTGGCAGCCGTCCCTGAGAATAACTAATTATTAGACTGGGTTTCTCCTGCCATTAAGGCACACCCAGTCTTGTAAGGCAGGGATATGAGGGCCCAGATGATTGCAGGCATTTGAAAAGTGCTGTCATAGAATAGTGCACGAGTGCATTGATTACAAAGGTGCTTGGCTGCAGTTCACAGCGAGTCCAATTACAGTGGCTTAAACATACAGGATTCTAGTTTTCTCACATAATATACAATCCAGAGGCAGGTTATTACAGCCGTTGGTTCAGTGGCACTCAGTGGAAAGGTCTACATCATTGAATTCTCTCCATCTTTAATTCATGCTTTTCTTGACTCCTCATGATGCCATAATGACCACTGCACCTCCAGGTATCATGTCTAGTTTTAAAGCAAGAAGAAAGGGATGAAGCATTAGACTTTCTCCTCCTGGGTTTTGTATTTGTATTTGGGAAGGATGCTCTCCTCAGGAGATTTTTCCTTGGAGGCAGTGAAGTATCTGGAGCCAGATTCACTAGGTTCAAATCCCACCTAAGCCATTTACAAGTCATTCGACTTTGTTCATGTTACCTGATTGATCTGTGTCTCACTATTCTCATCTGTAAAATGCACTTAATATGCCAGCAAATTTGGAAAACTCAGGAATGACCACAGGACTGGAAAAGGTAGGTTTTTATTCCAATTGCAAAGAAGAGTAATGCCAAAGAATGTTCGAGTTCCGTTCAGTCCCTCAGTCGTGTCCAACTCTTTGTGATCCCATGGACTGCAGCATGCCAGGCCTCCCTGTTCATCACCAACTCCCGGAGTTTACTCAAACTCATGTCCATCAAGTCGGTGATGCCATCCAACCACCTCATCCTCTGTCATCCCCTTCTCCTCCCTTCAATCTTTCCCAGCATCAGGGTCTTTTCAAATGAGTCAGTTCTTCGCATCAGGTGGCCAAAGTATTAGACTTTTAGTTTCAGCATCAGTTCTTCCAGTGAATATTCAGGACTGATTTCCTTTAGGATGGACTGGTTTGATCTCCTTGCAGTCCAAGGGACTCTCAAGAGTCTTCTCCAACACCACAGTTCAGAACCATCAATTTTTCAGTGCTCAGCATTCTTTATAGTCCAACTCTCACATCCATACATGACTACTGGAAAAAACATAGCTTTGACTAGATGGATCTTTGTTGGCAAAGTAATGTCTCTGCTTTTTAATAAGCTGTGTAGGTTGGTCATAATTTTTCTTCCAAGGAGCAAGCATCTTTTAACTTCATGGCTGCAATCACCATCTGCAGTGATTTTGGAGCCCCAAAAATAAAGTCTGTCACTGTTTCCCCATCTGTTTGCCATGAAGTAATGGGACCATACGCCATGATCTTAGCTTTCTGAATGTTAAGTTTTAAGACAAATTTTTCACTCTCTTTAGTTCAAGAGGCTCTTTAGTTCTTCTTCACTTTCTGCCATAAGGGTGGTGTCATCTGCATATCTGAGGTTATTGATATTTCTCCTGGCAGTCTTGATTCTAGCTTGTGCTTCATCCAGTCCAGCATTTCTCATGATGTACTCTGTATGTAAGTTAAATAAGCAGGGAGACAGTATATAGCCTTGATATACTCATTTCCTGATTTGGAACCAGTCTGTTGTTCCATGTCCAATTTTAACTGTTGCTTCCTGACCTGCATACAGATTTCTCAGGAGGCAGGTCAGGTGGTCTGGTATTCCCATTGCTTTAAGTATGTTCCACAGTTTGTTGTGATCCACACAGTCAAAGGCTTTGTCATGGTCAATAAAGCAGAAGTCGATGTTTTTCTGGAACTCTCTTGCTTTTTTGATGATCCAGTGTATGTTGGCAGTTTGATCTGTCAACATTTCCTCTGCCTTTTCTAAATCCAGCTTGAACATTTGGAAGTTCACAGTTCTCGTACTGTTGAAGCCTGGCTCGGAGAATTTTGAGCATTACTTTGCTAGCATGTGAGATGAGAGCAATTGTGCGGTAGTTTGGGCATTCTTTGGCATTGCTTTTCTTTGGGATTGGAATGAAAACTGACCTTTTTCCAGTCCTGTGGCCACTGCTGAGTTTTCCAAATTTGCTGGCATATTGAATGCAGCACTTTCACCGCACTCATCTTCTAGGATTTGAAATAGCTCAACAGGAAGTGCATCACCGCCACTAGCTTTGTTCATAGTGATTCTTCCTAAGGCCCATTTTACTTCCCATTCCAGGATGTCTGGCTCTAGGTGAGTGATCACACCATCATGATTATATGGGTCATGGAGATCTTTTTTGTATAGTTCTTCTGTGTATTCTTGCCACTTCTTCTTAATGTCTTCTGCTTCTTTTAGGTCCATACCATTTCTGTCCTTTATTGAACCCATCTTTGCGTGAAATGTTCCCTTGGTATCTCTAATTTTCTTGAAGAGATCGCTAGTCTTTCCCATTCTATTGTTTTCCTCTATTTCTTTGCATTGATCACTGAGGAAGGCTTTCTTATCTCTCCTTGCTATTCTTTGGAACTCTGCATTCAAATGGGTATATCTTTCCTTTCTTCCTTTGCCTTTCGCTTCTCTTCTTTTCATAGCTGTTTGGAAGGCCTCCTCAGACAACCATTCTGCCTTTTTGCATTTCTTTTTCTTGGGTATAGTCTTGATCCCTGCCTCCTGTACAATGTCATGAACCTCCGTCCATAGTTCTTCAGGCACTCTCTCTATCAGATCTAATCCCTTGAATATATTTGTCACTTCCACTGTATAGTTGTAAGGGATTTGATTTAGGTCATACCTGAATGGTCTAGTGGTTTTCCCTACTTCCTTCAATTTATGTCTGAATTTGGCAATAAGGAGTTCATGACCTGAGCCACAGTCAGCTCCCAGTCTTTTTTTTGCTGACTGTATAGAGCTTCTCCATAATGTTAAACTACTGCACAGTTGCTCTCATTTCATGTGCCAGCAAGGTAATGCTCAAAATCCTTCAAGCTAGGTTTCAATGGTACATACAAGTACTTCCATATGTACAAGCTGGAGTTAGAAAAGACAAGAGGAACCAGCAATAAAATTGCCAACACCCTTTGGATCATAGGAAAAACAAGGGAATTCTAGAAAAACATCTACTGCTTCATTGACTTCGCTAAAGCCTTTGACTCTGTGGATCACAACGAACTGTGGAAAATTCTTAAAGAGATGGGAATACCAGACCACCTTACCTGCCTCTTGAGAAACCTGTATGCAGGTCAAGAAGCAACAGTTAGACCCAATATGGAACAACAGACTGGTTCAAAATTGGGAAAAGAGTACATCAAGGCTGTTTATTGTCACCCTGCTTATTTAACTTCTATGCAGAATAATCATGCAAAATGCCAGGGTGGATGAATCATAACCTGGAATCAAGATTCCTGGGATTAATGTCAACAGATATGCTGATGATATTACCCTAATGTCAGAAAGTGAAGAGGAGCTAAAGAGCCTCTTGATGAAAGTGAAAGAGGAGAGTGAAAAAGCTGACTGAAAACTCAGCATTCAAAAACCTAAGATCATGGCTTTCGGTCCCATCATTTCATGACAAATAAATGAGGAAAAATAGAAATAGTGACAGACTTCATTGTCTTGGGCATCAGAATCACTGCAGACAGTAACTACAGCCATGAAATCAAATGACGCTTGCACCTTGGAAGGAAAACTATGACAAACCTAGACTTAGTATTAAAAAACAGAGATATCACTTTGCCGACAAAGGTCCATATAGTCAAAGCTATGGTTTTTCCAGTAGTCATGTATGGATGTGAGAGCTGGACCATAAAGAAGCCTGAGCACCAAAGAACTGATGCTTTCTTACTGTGGTGCTGGACAAGACTCTTGAGAGTCCCTTGGGTTGCAAGGAGTCAAACTAGTCAACCCCAAAGGAAATCAACCCTGAATATTCACTGAAAGGACTGATACTGAAGCTGAGGCTCCAATCTTTTGGCCACCTGATGCAAAGAGCTGACTCAATGGGAAAGACCCTGATGCTAGGAAAGATTGAAGACCGGAGGAGAAGGGGTGGCAGAGGATGAGATAGTTGGATCGCATTATTGACTCAGTGGACATGAGCTTGAGCAAACCCCAGGAGATAATGATGGATAGGGAAGCCTGGCATGCTGCAGTCCACGAAGTTGAAAAGTGCAGAGTGGGACACGACTGAGCAACTGAGTAACAACAATGTTAGAATATTAGCAACTGAACAACAATAACAATGTTAGTATATTAGTCACTCCCAATTTGAAGGGACCATCTTCTCTGGAAATCACCATATGAAAAGTTTATTTTCTTCAACCACTAAGCTGCTTAAAAACTACCAGTTTCCTTAAACTGTTATTAATAGTAATTTTAGGCAAGATCTGCAACACTTTCAGCTACCAAACCTGGAATATCAAAGTGATTTCCCATCTGTTTTGCATTTAATTCATTTTTTTAAAACTCAAGCCACTTTTAATTCAGTTGAAAAACAGGAGTAATTACTTTAGCTAAAGAGAAAAGAACATCTTTAATTATTTTTAAAGGATATGATCATAGGCTTATACTGCTTCTTACACTTTTTTTCTCCAATTTATTGCTTAAAAAAGAGAAGGCATTTGGTTAACCAATTTAAGTGTGATGATTGTGGGATTGGGGAAAATATTTTATGAAAGCTAGAAACCTTTTTATTTATGACAAAACAAAGTTGATCTCTGAGCCCAGACATTGAGAAAATCATCTTGGTTACCTTTCTGCTTTCCCTTTGGAGTGCATCACAACTTTAGGTACAGATTATAGATTTGTCACTCCTGGTCACAAAGAGAGATTCCTTCTCATTTCACCTGGGAAATGCTTCCTGTAGGAAATGAGAATTTTTTCTTTCTTTTCTTTTTTTCGGCCGCACCACA